GTTTCTCTTTCTGTGAGTTCATTATTGGTGTATAAAAAGGCCATATATTTCTGGGTATTAATTTTGTATCCTGCTACATTGCTGAATTCATTTATTAGGTCTAGTAGTTTTTTGATGGAGTCTTTGGGGTTTTCTATGTATCTAATAAATTAATTTTTGCCTGACTTACAAGTCTTAATGAGAAGCTATTTAAGTTACACATGACAGCTGAAGTCATCTAGCTAACATTCATTCTTAAATCTATTCTAGATTCTAACACTGAAAGTTTACTATTACATTTTTGTGTTTCCCCATATGTAAATTCAAATTATGTTTTAACTTGTATAATATTCTGGTAAAATTGTACTGGAATGATACCAGAACCTAAGCTGGGGTCATATTTCCTCATCAGTTACATTCCTTAATGCAATAAGTCAGACACCTCGGGAAGCTCTTATTACCAACCTGGAGAGATGCAGAACATGGGGATGAGAAAGCCGTTCTCCCAGGTATAGCAGCAAAAGTAGTCTAATAGTAGACTGATGTGAAGGGCAAGTAGGCTTTTAAATAGTGGATCTGGGTCTAAGTGAGTAAAGTTAAAACCCAGAACATCTATTCTGGCTAAAACTCATGATGATTCAAAACTCAAACCTTCATGGATGCACCTAAGGAATTTAATTGATCAAACTTCTCTAAATGGAAAATGTACCTCCTTTCCTCCCCGTGCCATACTATCTTCCCAATAGGCCTGTCCCAATAGTTTCTTTTACTCCCTTTGGAGCTGCCTGCTGTTCTTACAACCCTCTCTTTTGTGGCTTCCAAGGCTGATACGCAAAAAAAACCCCTCCTTCAATCAGGTTTCCACTATCTCCCCCCCCCCCTCTCTTTTTCTACCCCTTGGTTAACTTTCCCTTACTGTCTTTTACTTTGCCATCCAGGGAATGACAAAGGAAGATATTTCCCCTTCTATATTCATGGGCTGTTCTTTACTCCCTCTCCCCCGCCACCCCCTGCTCATGATACATTCTCAGTAAGTCCTCAACAGGACATGTCTGGATGTCCATATCACACTGTGGGTACCTTGTGGGTAAAATTATCCACAGCTTAGTGGGGCTTGGGGACAAAAATCTATGTGACTCAATCACTTCTGTTTTATATTCTGTCAGCCCTGACCCTTGGAGTCCCTCTCTTTCTTGCCATTTGCCCTGCTGTCAAATGCAGGTCCAAGTCCAGCTCTCTCTTATAGCGTCTCCACTGCTTGGTGTCCAGTTCTACTCCCCCTGCTTTGGGTCAGAGTTTCCTTGCAGAACCATCTGCCCCTCTGCCGTGGGACTCAGTCCCTTGGTGATTTATGCAAAGCTGACTCTCCTTTCTCTCTGTCTAGACCTCGTCACATCCTCCACCTGCTCTCTGCCAGCTCCACACCTGTGGTGGCTGATTTGTCCAGTCTCCCCACCCAGCTCAGCTTACTCAGCTCACTCCTATTTCTTTCTCCAAGATCCACAGCTGCAGTGCCCCAGACCACTTCGGGAGTCCATTCTTTGGCATCTTCAATTTGCACAGGTGGCCCCTAGCCCCTGGCTCCCTTTGGAGATCCTTGTCCCCAGCCCTGGGCAGCCTGGAGAGCATATCCATTTGGCCCTCTGCCTGCTCATCAAGCAGGCAGCCCACACGTCCTACCTGGGAATGCCCCTTCAGGACTGTTTTCCTGACCTGGCTTACAGACACTGGCCTGGATTTGCTTCCAGTCCCATCCCCCAAGGTTATTCTCAGAAGCTTTTAGGAGAAAGGAAGGTCTGTGTGTTCAAGTGACGATGCCTGCTCTGAACGCCCTGCTATCTATCTGGCCACATTAGGAGGCAAGGGTTGGTTTATCAGTCTTGGCCAGGCTGCTCGCCGCCTGACATAATCAGCACATGTGTGCCTCAAGACAGGCCTCTGCTCTTCGGCAACATGTTTTTGGTAAAAAAAAAAGGGGGGGGGCAGATAAAGGGATGCTATGGGGCTCACATGAAGTCACACTGCTGAAGACACTGTCTCACTGTACAATGTCCTTGTATATGAGGCCACCATGGATTTGTTTTCAGTCATGGATCCCATATTGGATCAGTTTCCCCTCTTTGCACTGGCTGCTGGAAAGCTTAGTGCCAAACCTGAGGGTTGCCTGGGGATAGAATGAATCTGCATGGATTTTTATAACCTTACTCACCAGTCCATTTTATGTCTTCATCTCTATTTTCTACTTTCCTTTTCTATCTACTTCTAATTTACATTTTCTTGCCTGCCATCTTAAACCCTTCCCAAATCAAGGTGGGACATAAATAAACAAACAGATAAAATGAGGTAATTTCATGAAAAACTGAAACAGAATCTCTTTTATACAGTTGGTTAAAAGGTAAATTTCTGGACAGCAATATCTACTGAATGTTATAATGCACATATTTATGACACAGAAACATCAATTCCAGGACTGTATCCTACAGACATAGTCACACAAGTGTGCAATAGTTTGATTGCAGCATTGTTTGTAATAGAAAAAAAAGCAAATGTCCAGGAATGGCTAAATACATCATATTGCATGTATACAATGGCACACGTCACAGCTGTTCAAAATGAGAGATGAGTTTACATGTTCTAACACCAAGGATGCCTCTAATGTATTAAGTGAAGAAGAAAGAAATTTGTGGTTGGTGCGGGGGAGGAGAGGAGGATATATTTGCTATTTAAACTTCAACCCCACTACAAATAACATGAATACTAAGGAGAGCTTGCTGCTTGTTGCACGGTATAAACAAAATCATCCTCCTCAGCACAGAAGCTTTCTCATAATTCAAGGCAATATTAAATAACCACAACGAGGAAGCAGAATTGCAGGAGTGTCGGGAGCTACATTCCCTGAATTAGCACAAGCTACAAGATGAGAAGAGAGGTGGGGGGCGGGGGGGTGGTAAAGTAGAGGGAAGATGAGGGGCTAGCCTGTGGAAAAGCTTTGGCAGTTGAGGGTTGTCTAATGGGAATTTTGATGTGAAATGCAGTGAATTTTGTTTTCATTCTGTCTCCCAAAGCCTCAGTAAAACCTACCTTTTTCCCAATACTTTGCAGTTGGATTTGTTTTGGAGGGAACATAATGAAGTGTTGCATCCAACCTAAGGGGCAGAGGTGGCCCAGAGTGATGAGCCCCATCTGAGTCACCAACCGATAATCAGGTCCCATGTGCAATTGGTTCTGTGTACATTGGGAACTTCAGGTTGATGAGACTAGGAAAAGACTAGAATACAGGGAAAAGCACAATAAACCACAGCAACCCTGTGCAAAAGCAACGGTCTGGCTAATACATACTGAAATCAGCTTCCCTATCCAGGAAGACAAATCACAATTTAGGGGGGGGGGGGGAAGGTGAAAAGATCACAGGCGAGAAGATAATTCCAGAACTTAACATGTGCCAGAGTAGCCACTGTTATATACATGGCATATATACAATGCTAGCTCTGACTACATTAGTTCTTATAGGAATATCTTCTTTATCTAAAAAATATAAAGAGATGTTGTCTTCATTAAAATTCCCCTTACTGCCCACTTCACCTCTGTACACTTCAGCCCCTCACACAGAACTGCCCTAACGTTCCTATGGATGGCTCTGGGTCTTCCAGAACCACCTCCTCTACAATCACTGCTTCCACAGCCTGTGTGACCAACCCAGTGAGGACCTAATGGAGCAGGCCCCATGGATGGGCATCAGTGGCTCCCAAACCCCCAGGATGTTATGCAACCTATTGTGTGTGTACACTTCTCTGGGAGGGAGGTCATGGATCTGCTCAAATAGCAGTGGGATGATCCCCTAAATGCCCAGGACCTCAGATTTAGAAGCCTGGTATGAAATTACTAAAAAAAAAAAAACATCATATTTCCAAGGCCTAGCACAAAGTGTGGTGAACAGGTTGTACTTAATAAAAAAATAGATAAAAGCTTACAATGACTGAGTATTCAAAGTACACCAGACACTGAGGTGTTTATTGTTATTATTATTATTCTTGTTTTACAAATGGGAAAAAGGAAGTGCCAAGTGCATATCTATGTTTGTAAAACTCTAAACTCTTGATGTTAACCACTCTCTATAGATGTTGTTAAGTGAACAAATGCTAAATGAGGTGACAGGTGGTGGCTACTAACTTCCACCTGCAGGTAAGAAAACTGGTATCATCATGGGGGGGAGGGGAGTTGAGTAAAAAATAAGGTTACCCATCTTCCATTTAAGTGTGCTTTTCCTTATACTTCTCCAACTTTGTTTGAAATAGTCTTTATTCCTTATTAGACACGAAAGTGAAATCCTAAATGGAACTCATTTGACCTGTTTCTGCGTTCAGGACTCTGGCATGTATATGATAATATTGTTCATTAGTAGATCAAATTTCATACCAATAGGGACTGTGTCACCATGACATCTGAAGAAAGCAAAATCTTTCCTTTTCTGGGATCCTTCTCTTGTTGGGGGGGTTGGTGTTGGGGGGGGGGGTCCCAAACCCAAATGCCCACAGTGACTAGTAGGTTATGAAAGTGATATGAGTGGGCTAGTGGGAACAAGGGCCGTCAGGACAGGAGCCAAATCCAGCCTGAGGACAGACCTGTCCCTTGCCTCAGTCCATCAGGATCACTTGAGAATGTGGGCCCAGGATGACCAGATCTTCAGAATTGTAAGAGAAACCAGAAACATAGATCTTATGTGGAATTTCCTGAGGTTTAGATGTCGACAACTTATTCAAATACTTTTAAGAAATACAGTACAGGCCAAATGAAACACATCTTCTATGGCTGGGTGGGCCTGTGAGCCATCAGTTTGTAAACTCAGTTTTCATTTGGGGAACATCCAAAATCCTCTTCTGGCCCCGTCAGGCAGATAAAGGGTATGGAGGAGAGGTGAAATTAGTATTTTCAGTTTTGTTGCTTGTTAGCATCTTCACGGAAAGGTTTGGTGAGGGAAGTGGTTAAATCGTTTTTAGACTATCAGTGGATTTGAAATAAGCTATCCACGACCCGGAACTGAAAATCAAGAGCGGGCAGTAACAGTTGCATGTGCCTTTCTCCCTTAAGCGACTAGTTGACCTTTCTGTGGCACAAAGAATCGTTCTGGTGTGCACTGATACATGACTTCAGCATTCTTTAAGCTGGCTGTTAGCAGGCAGTGCTCTGTGCTGACTCAGCAGAAAGATCCACAACCCACATGTCTTCTTGCATTGCACGTGCTTCTGCAGGGCAGCAAACCAGCTCCAGCAGTGAACACACGACTGTTTGCAGAACATCTTTGGATAGTTGCTATCCAGTAATGAAGAGCTTCTCAGGAGAACAGAACCTCTCCTAATAGGAGGACTCTACCTCGCTGATTACTCTATCAAGGCTGTGCAGAACACTGAATAAATCTGGATTTATTCAGGGATCAGCTACTCTGGCACTCCAGCCTCCAGGGCCCTCAGCCTGCTTCCTGCACAGCACTGCCTCTGAGGCATTGATGGAGGAAGCCATGTGAAATCATAACTTAGACGATGAGACTGAGGCCTTTAAGAACTAGTTCCCGGTTCAGATCTAAGAACAGTATTTGGAGAAAACTTCCTCCAGCCTTCTTTTCTTTAAATACATTAGTGAAATGGATGCAGAATATTACTGTATTTTGGGAAATAATGCTAAACAATGTTCTCTTCAAACTGAAGGTGTTGCATACAAGTTTAGATTGAAGAGAGATCTATGTTTGTGCATGAACAGAATTTCCCTACCTCACCAGCAAATTGAGGATTTTCCAGCCTTTTTTCTTTCAACAACATAAGATACCTAAGCCAACAGTAACAGAGTACTAAAGTATGGACAATACCAAATGTTATGTCTGGAGTGAAGCTGAGTTCTTCATTGGCTGCCAGACAAGCTCATCTTAACTTTATAAGGAGAGCACATTACCTGACTACTATAGTATTTAGCATCTCTAAACTGAAGTATTCCCAAATGTTTTTCATGAAACATTTAAGTCCATTTTCTTTTTTTTTAATTTTTTTATTTTTTTTAATTAAATCTTTATTGTTCAGATTATTACATTTGTTCCTCTTTTTTTCCCCCCATAACTCCCCTCCTTCCAGCTCCCACCCCACCCTCCGCCCTCACTCCCCACCCACTGTCCTCATCCATAGGTGCACGATTTTTGTCCAGTCTCTTCCCGCATCTCCCACACCCC